GAGGAGGGTCGGGTCTGAGTTTCTGGAGGCCCTCTCTCAAGACATGACACCAAATCTTGGCTTTAGACAGGGATATTTGCCAGCAAATACACACGCAGCTCTACCGCAAATGCTACCTAAACAGCCATTTTGTGTCTCCGTTTAGAAAGGCAATGACCTAGATGGAAACATCCTGTGGCCATATCTGACATTTTTAAGGCCTGTAGAGCCACAGTGTAAGAGATGTCCACACTGTTTCTCTGTGTCTTTCCAATATTCGTTTAGGTATGACATTTGATTCAGCTCCATGCAATAAGACGTACCCTGTCAGAACTGTTTCTTTATCAACAATGATATCTGCAGAAGTGTTTCTCTAGGCGGTAGGCCATATTTCACCAGCCACTGGAGTAACGTCGTGGTGTTCCCAGACATCAGTCTATCCACCTCCCAAGTGCCCGTTAGGTGACTTCTCCCAGTGCCCACCTCCACCACTGGGACTCTATATAGTACCCCACATGCTCCCTGTTGAAACCAGCTTCATGGTCAGTATTGAGTAAAAAATAAGAGACAAAATTTACCATAAAGGAGAGAGTCAGAAGTGTAATTAAAAAAGTGTCACAAACATCAGCATATAATATTTTGAAGTCAGGTATGATTAGCTTGGTTTTGCTTTATTTAACTATAAGAAACGATAAAGGATTAATTATTAATATTCAGTAGTCATTAAAAGAGCTCTGCACTGGGTATGATCCCCATACATCAGCTGAGCTGGATGAAAGAAACTTTATTGCCTTTTTTTGTGAAACACAAACAAGGTATTCATAAAAGTCGTTTTGTTGACACTGAAATCACAAACCCACAGCCAAAGACCTGATCCTGCCAACAGATTTGTATGGGTGGAACTTTGACTTCCTATTAGCGAAAAGTTTAACTAAATATTTGGAAAAATAATGTAGGAAATACAGAGTTGACCCCAAATCAGCGGCAAAATTCCCACTGGTATTCCCTAAATCCAGGCTTTAACCCATCATCTGTAAGTGTCTTTGAATGCACTGAGGCAACAGCTCCATAAATGTCGATTTCCTTATGAACTGGGAAGAAAGAGTTTGAACTTTCTCCACTAAGTTTGCCTGTGCACAGAGGTCTTTTATAATATAAATTTAAATACACAATCTGTTTTACAATGTTTTCCATCATCGCTCCTCTCCATATGTTCTCCCACTAGGAATCTAATGAGTTCTACATATGAGGGATGACAAGGGAATATGCCTGAGAAATAATTCCAGCAATTACGGCATATGGAGGCATTGTTTTTGAGTCGCTTTTGCCATGAACATTAGGCAGAGCATCTGGGACCAAATTCTGTCTACCTGCCCATGGACATTAGCAAAATCATCATCTTCCATTTGTAAATTCTGCTGAGGTAATCTGCCATACAGAGAGGACCATTTCATCAGCTTTATGATCAGAGAGCATATTGAAACACGGACCATTCATAGTTAGGAAAAAATGCTCCTATTCAGACAGAACAGTTTAAGCTGGAAACCATTTTAAGATAAAATGAGAGAGACACATCATCCCTCTTTCTCTTCTCTCCAAGAACTACAAAGAGCCTGTGTTCCGTTCCAGGCCACTATTTATTAAAGAACTTTTCTCATCACTACTGAAGTTTCGTAGGAACTGACTGGATCCCAGGAAAAGAGAAAATTACCAAAGAAAAGCAAAAAGAACAACAACAAAGAGACTCAAACTCTAAATCAGTAACAGGAAGGATTATAGTCTCTACACCCAAATACTGGCGAGGCATCCAGAATTAACCATAAAGAGAGAAACAGACTAAAAAACCTCCCTTATATGGAGACACAGCGACTAAAACAACTAGCATACATTTTGCAAATTCTGGATATCAGATCTAAATACTAAGACATAAGGCTGGAGAATTCAGTTTCAGTTTTTGTCATGTTTGATACGACAGTAAGGAAAAAAAGAGATCAAGAGATTCAACTAATAGGCTGATATGGGGTAAACTTGCAACTCCACCTATTTGTCATATTCAGGAAAAATGTCTCAGCAATGCAAGTAACGTAAGTATTTTTACATTTTGTTTTCCCAGCTGTGCAGTTAAAGCAGTGAAAGCAAAGCCATAAATCCCAAACTACAGGGTCTTGAGGTTACCTCAATCTTATAAGGAAAAAAAGAATGGCCCTGCTGTTACAGAGGATCTAAACAAAATTTTACAGTTATGAATATAAACATAATTTAAAGAGCTAATATAGAACTTTTACAGTTATGGTTACATATGGGCAATAATATTTCTATTACACAAACTATTTCTTGAACTTAGTTGGGCAATAAACTGGTTTTCAGAACTGAAAACTAGATATATTTCAAGACTTTCAGTCACGGCCAATATTGATGTGATTAGTGATATTTAATCAAGAAAATCCGTTATCAAGGAATAACTGGATTTCACTTCCCATTGCCACACAGAATTACCTCTGTAGTAGCTAGGAGGGATCGAAAATAGAGGGAAGGTTCTTTAACCATTAACCTGAATAGGGACAGGCATGTGAACTTTAATGAACTTGCCCATTCAGAATTTTCTGAGCAAAATGCTGAACACACTCACCTGCAGCTGAAGACCTTACCCAAACCCCACTGAAATCACCGCAGCACCTTACCATGTCTGCGGTCTGGCTTTGGAGCAAATCCCAGAGACACAAGCGATGGAGCCTTCCACCACTCTAGAGAACAAGCCTGAGGACCTGCTGTCACCACCACAGCCCCAGCTTCGGGATGCCCACTGTACCCCAGTGCTCCCTCCCATGCAGGATCCACATCCCCAGAACCTACATCTTGTGGTGATGAAACCACACTACAATGGTTTTGCCTAGCCTGGCATCCCACTAACAGCAGTCGGAGAAAGAAGAACAGTCATTCCCTTCCTTACGCAATCGTCTCCAGCTGTCCCCATCAGTGGTCCTCCTGCCAGGTGATCTTAAGTTAGTTTTGGATTAAGAGATGTTGGCAACACTTGTCATCACCTGTCAAAACAAAGTTGTGGGAAATTCAGCCTTTTCATATACTACCTCTTGTAATCACTGCATAAGTAGTGCAGATGAATACAGGAGATGCAAAACAACAGCCATGGAAGACATTTTTGCTAAAATATTTGCAATGACTGACTGTAAAGTGGTATCAGAAACTTACATAACCTCTTACAGAAACAAGATCAAAAAAGTAACTTGGAAATCTTTTCTCATTCCATAAATGAATAAACAGAAACGTTTCTCAGGGTACACACTGCATTATAAAGACTAACAAAGTGATTAGGTAGTTCTTATTATTCAATTTAATACCCCTGAAACCATGAGAAATCATTTAATGCCAGCAGATTGTCCAGGTGTGACATGTTCGATAGAGAGCTGTCTAACTACTGGCAAAAAGAAACTAGAGATTAAGGCAACACTTCTCCTACAAACCAAAACTGTGCTCTTTTTCCTTGCCAGTATCTTGGTTAACAACAGATGCGTAAAATTCAAGGCATGAAGGAGGCGGCAGTAAATCAACAGAAAAGGATGCCAATCACATCTTTCTATTTTGTTGTTATAGACATCCATGCATTACCTGGAAACTATAAAAGACAGCTGTACAATTATAACGAGCAAAAAACCCCTGCATATATTTTTAGGAAACCTAACAAAATAACATGCTTTATAGTAGATTTTTAGTTTCAAAACAAATCTATCTGATGCACTCTGCCTCCAGTTTTAAAGCATGTAGGTTCTACATGAAACAGAGCTGCAATGGCTTGGTGAAGTACTGAAACGCTACATCAGTAACGTTCTTGAGCAGAGCTGGAGGAGTCAAGATTTAAAAGATAAGAGGATAAATAGGAAGATTTAAAGGATATAGGAAAATAGGTGGATTTAAAGGTAGTAACAGGTATCTGCAGCACTGTTTCAAAGGTTAGCACTTACTTATGACCAATAAGATACAACCAAGAAGTACTCTTGAATGTTTTTCAAGCTCTATTTTAGATTTATTAGACCTGATTTGGATTTTTTTTTCATTAAGACTCCTATCAGGATTTGCTTTATGTTTTGTTGAACTGATCCAATACATTTCATTTTGAAAGTCTTGAACATAGCAGTGAGTTTTCTTCCCCTGTTGATGCACTGCCACATAGAACCGCAGAATAGGAACCCATATTCTCCTGCAGTTCGGAGTTCTTGATGATTATTGAATTCCAAGGGTACCATGGATTTCCCTTTGATCATAATGCCTGATCATCTTTATAATCAGACAAAGCTGGGTATATCAAATAATCTGGGAAGTAGTAGATAAGGAATAAAGGAGTAATTGAAGCAGGATTCATCTTCACGTGCCTACAACATGAATGCCCATAGCTGAGCTAGTCACCCGTACTCCATTTTCAAAGGCACTGCTAAAACCGGCACTATGGACAGCTAACTACGGTTCCCAGCTTGCTTTGAGATGCACAAGCCAACTTCACTGTTGAACTGGCTTTTTTTTTCTTTTAAACAGTTCAACAAATTAACCTGAAACATTACCTTTTCAGGAATTTCTATCATGTTTTGTTGCTCCTGAAAAGGTCTAAAGGAGAATTTTTCAGGACTCCCATTTTGTGGGGAAAAAAACCCAAACAACCAAACAAAAAAAAAACCCCAAGCCCAAACCATATTTTTTCTGTCTGGCCTGAAAACAACAGTACGCCCACCAGAATTTCCCATGACAATGCTAGAACAGTTGTGCTAGATATCAGTTTCCCTTGGAAAAGTACCTTTCAAAGTGGCAGGAGATATTCCCAGCTCTACTGAAGAAATACAAAATTAATATAACCCTTGAGATTCTTACCCACTGAAAAAACATTATTTTGTTCCATGTGTACACAGAATAGATCTCCAAAGCACACATCCATACAGGGAACTCAATTTTATATTACAATTTTATTCACTTGCTATGAATATTCACAACATTAATCTACAGCAGATAATCTATTCAGTATATTTGAAAATCCATTTATTTTCACTTATTGATATGCATGTGTTACACTTGTATATAATACAGTATTTTCAGTGTTGGTTTAGGAACAAAGAAACAAGGAAACCAAATATTGAGAAGCATGATGTAGATTTTTGACCAAAGAGAGGCCACATTCAGATTTTACAAACCAGTACATTTACACTTTGCACTGTCCCAAACAACCTCTTGAAAATGCTACCTTCTGTCCTGCACCTGTTAGCACAATTCCATACAATATTAATCCATCCTAAAATACTGAGATACCTAGTTGCTCCTACAAACAGTTTATCCTAATTAAATTTTAATCAGAAAAGAATATCTTTCCCTGCCAACATTTTTTATTTCTCAGCAGAATGATAGAATATACTTCTCAGTTTCATTCCCAACAGTCATTTATTTTATTTAAGCTCTCCTGTGCAATAATACAGCAGAGGTAATGAAATGGTTTTGGAACAGCAGGGGCTACTGTGACAGGCAGAGCACTCCAGGGTGTTCATCCATCATGGAACTTAATATATAGCTACCTAGCCACGTCAATGGCTTGTAATGATAAAATCATTTCCCTCTTTTTCTGGGGGTCTGGTAACCACACAGGACTTTTAAATAAGCTTGGCCCTATATATTTTGGACTACCATTAAGCGTGTGTGGTTTTCATTTCAATGCACCAAAGCACACAGTCAGAACTCCCTCACCCTCTCCAGTCAGCATGCTTATGCAGTGTCACTAAAAGGCATTGCCAAATTTCTGTATCAATATTACAGATGGTACAATATACATTAAATGGAGTATAAAATTATACATTCTGTAATAACTTAGAAAAAAGCTCATAGATGCTTAAGGCCTTTAAATATTGAGGATTTTTTTCATGTAACAGCACATCACAAAGTTCAAAAATTGCTACTGAAACAAAAAATGAAAAAGTAAATGTGATTTTGGCAAGGATCAGATCTGAATTGGATGACTGTAAGCAAGCAAAATACCCACAAACTGTAAATCTGGGAGGGCACTAGGACTTTTTTTCCTTGATAGCAAACAGACTGAGCAGACATCTACATAAGCATCCAACAGTACTTAGGTTCAAGCAAGAGATTTTATTTTTTAATAAAAAGACAAAAATTCTGAATGATTACCATCCAATTTCATAATTGCAAAACTCATTTACATCCCTGCCTACCTTTATAAAAAGGGACGAAATGCTGTCATTGCTTACCATGAATTTCAATGAATTAAAGGTTGGGAAAGTAAAGTACGTATCAGGAACACCCATCTCCTTCAAACTAAATGGAAATGTATATCTTAAAGGTATAAAATGCCTTATAATGGAAGTGGTAATTGAGTTTTGACCACTACTTTTTTAACTGCCAAAGAGCTGCAGTAGCTGGTTAGCCTTAGGGAAACATGTCAACCTGACTATACATTCTAATATGACTGATGTATTCAGATAACTATTACTTGTCAACAATAATTATTAACAATGGATATATATTTCCATTCCTATAACAAAAGCAACTTCAAGATGTTGAAATATGTACCTTTGAGAGCTCCAAGATTAGAATACAAATAAAAATGTCTAAAACTGCGCCATGCCAGAGGACAATTTCTGCAACAGAAATTTAATTAAAGCAGTGTGCAGTCCCACCAGCAATCTGAATGGTGGACCAGGGATCATTTTAGAGGGAAGGAACCAATACATTTTGGAGTTTGACTTCATCAAGATGAAAAGCTGCTGGTCTGGAATGGAGAATCCAAAGATTGCTTCTTTTCTGCACCTTTTGAATATCAACTCTTGTGATTACAGCTGCAAATTCCTCAGCAAGGGCAATTTTAAAAGTGTACACAGTTCAATCAGTTGAAATCTTTGTGACACAGAAGTTCAGAATAACTTTCCAGTAGTTTTGATCTCAAGGCTGTTGCTGATTACAAGCCAGGTTATCATTGAAACAATTGATTCTGAAGGATACACCCCAGCAGTATAAAATTTCACTTCAAGGATTGCCTGGAGGAATTAAATTCCTATGTGTTGTATTTAATGTTATCAGCCTTGAGACTGACTTGATTTGTCTTTAGCTATCGGGTTACCTGTAAAGAAAAAGAAAATCAGAAATTCAAAACTGCACATAGAGAATCTGCTTCCGAAGTACTGGAAACTGAGACTGAAATATAAGATATCTGTCCAGCAAAGCTATTTCAATTGTTTTTAAATAAGTGAGTAATTCCCAATGGTATTAGATGGGATTGCTCCCCAACTTAAATTGTGTGTTTACGTGCTTTGTTGGAATTGGACTTGACAAGGAGAAATTGAAATGTGACCATGCTTAAAAATATAATAAAAAAATCTGAAGGTCACAAATTACCAACCCACAAATGTCAAAAGCATTGTTTTCAAGGAAAAATTCTGTATTCTGTTCACCCTTCTCATTGTTAGAACTTCTGTATGGTAACAACTATGCTTTTAAAATGTTAGCCATTGAGTATAACAGTGACTGATACTGGAGGTGTATTCTTCCGTTCTCTGCATGCTACTTTAAAACACAATCATAGAATCAAAGAATCATAGAATCATTTAGGTTGGAAAAGGCAATGTCCTGTTAGGGGCTAAATGCATCTTAGCAAGCAATCATCACTTAGTGGAGAAATGGGACAAAAATCATGCATACATAAACAAAAGAGAGATATATCCTGTTATTCACAAGGTATAGAATAACTACCAAGGAGTTCACTTAGAGTGGTTTCACCCAGCCTAACATGAAACAAGAGTGGAACAGAAGGACCACAGAGAAAGAGTGGGAGACAAAGCATTTCACAGTAATTGGACTTTCCCTGTGTCTGGTTTGGATTTTAAACATCAAAAGGAAAAAAAAAATCATATCAAAGAAACATAACTTTGAGGAATATTTCTGCTGTGTCAGTGGATACAATTAATGATCATGTAACATTTTAATATCAAATTGTGTCAGGGGACAACATCCCAACTCTTGAGGAACAACCCATTGGAACGGTCACAATAACACTTTATGACATCAAGGGGCATATGCTTTTCATTTTGGTCACAGAGAGAAGGGTCATGCTCCTTAATGATGAAACATTCTTTTGCCCTCAGCAAAACTGCATACAACTCTCGTCAGCTCTGCAGAGCACAAACGTAGAGCAGAATATTAAAAGGACTTTTCAAGGAGTTCATTACTTCGGTTTGCCTTCTTCACCAAGATGTTTGTAGGAACTGCACTTAAGAAGGCAATAATAAAATTGTGCTTTGTGACTTTTATGATACATGGGTTTATTTACTACACTGCTCTTGTTTTGTTTTGTTATTGCTGTTGGAAACAGCCTCATGCGGCCCCTTCTATAGTGGAAGATTGCCTGAAAAAATAATGAAGAATTAATTTAAAAGTCAGGCAACATATTTCTATGCCCTGCACCAAAGCTCAAAAGGCTGACACAGCGTCTTATTGTTATTTATTTTTTGCTTTATTGTAATAAACTGGAATTCTACTCATGGACCCAGGTGCCACTAAGCTACGTAATGGAAAACACACATCTTCTGATCCTATCTGCAGGTGCATTTTTATTAGCTTAACTGGAGATATAGATAGATAAACTGTGATAAATCAACTGATGCAAAGCACACTGAAGCCAGATCAAAGGATGTGAGGCTTCCAAAGAGGCCATGTAGATGCAGGGTCAAAGCTTCTCACTTTTCCAAACAACAGAGCAGACCGAAACCAAAGCAGACTCAAAGGATAGTTTCCTCAGAGGCACAACTGGACAGGCACAGTCACTGGAACTCAGCTGAATTCTCTCTTCTGCCTACGTACCCACAGAGTAGACCTTTGCTATTAAAAAGAGAGGGTGCCAGCTGACTTCTGAGAGACCAAGGTGACCGTGACCCGGCAATGCGCCCTTGCCGCGAAGAAGGCTCACGGTACCCTGGGCTCCTTAGACAAAGTATTGTCAGCAGGTCGAGGGAGAGCACCCTTCACCTCTGCTCCGTACTGGGGAGCCCACACCTGCAGTAGCGTGTCCAGTTTGGGGCTCCCCAGTACAAGACAGACACAGAGCTACTGGAGAGAGTACAGTAAAGGGCCACTAAGGCAAATAAGGGACTGGAGCGTGTTCGTATGAGGAAAGGCTGAGACAGCCGGGACCGTTCAGCCTGGAGAAGAGGAGGCTCGGAGGGATCTAATCAATGTGTGCAAATACCTGAAAGGGGGGGGCAAAGAGGACAGAGCCAGGCTCCTTTCAAGTGGTGCCCAGTGACAGGACAAGAGGTGATGGGCACAAACTGAAACACAGGAGGTTCCCTCTCAGGAAACATTTTTTTACTGTGAGGGCGATTGGCACGGGTTGCCCAGGGACGTTGTGGAGTCTCCATCCTTGGAGATACTCAAATGCGACCTGGTCCTGGGCAAGCGGCACTAGGTGGTTCTGCTTGAGCGGGGGGGTTGGACTTCCAGAGGTCCCTTCCAACCTCAACCATTCTGTGATGTATTATTTCTATCATATCCGGCTTTGCCAATGCATGGGCTAAAATCATAAACTGCAACTAGTGAAAAGAGAAGTTTCACACATATGTGACTGCTCAGTTACGCGGCTGTTTGGAAGTGCAAATATGTTATCTTCAGTCACAAAGCAACTCAGTAAAATAATAATCTGCAGGCCTATCTGCTCCCCCCGCATCGAGCTCTACAACTGTGTGGTGAAAATACCCCTATAAAAGCAACATACACTGTTACATAGAATAAATAGGTGACATAAAGAAGAAAAAAATCATATAGCCATTCAAATCTCTGCTCTATAATAGGTTGCTAATCATATACAAAGGTCATTTTGTTTATACAGACTGCCCAGGAAGTCAAGCTGCATATTCCTAGATTGGAGTTTTTAACTGCTTTCCCTTGCCAGAATTTTTATTATTCCACCTGCCTTCTTTTTTTTTCTTTTTTTTTTTCCTTTTCTTTTTTCCTGTTAACTTCCAGGCCACACAATGCTACTCTGAGTAACACACATAGTGGTTCACATTTGCTTCTGTGTAAGAAGGTAATACTTGTTATGTGCAAGCACAGACCAGACATTAACATTAATGGAAGTTATATATCCATTCACATTAGGGAGAGAATAGACATCTCAGATGCTAAAGGCAGTTTCATAAAGAAGCAATGAAATTTTAGCTAATATCTAGTGATGGTATTCCCAGAAATGCTTAATTCTGGATATAGTAAAAGCTATTTGGTTTTAGTGGCTGGGAAGCCAGGTATTGTGCCAAAGGTCTTTATAGGAAAAGGGGGACTGATAGCAGTACGTGTCTGATCTTTAAAACCCTAAGAGAACAGTAACACACTGAATGGGTGAACACCAAAGTCTAATCAATTTTTCAATTAATAATTAATATGTATGGAAAATTAACTTTGCTGGTGTTTAACAATACAAATGAAAAAAAGGACATAAAACCTTTAGCATCCTAGGTGTTGATCTGAATTAATTTGTTCATTCTTGGAACATAATTACTCCCTTTATGCTAATATATTTTTTCACATGGTTGTTATATCACAAATACGATGCATTAGACTCTCTTCACTTTCTTGTACTAAATGTGCAATTAAAATATAATTACTCTGCAGTTGCAGACTTTTTAATTTAAATTAGTGAGTGGCTGCTGTAAATTGGCTGTAATTGTATATGAACTCACTTGTTTTATTTTAAAAAAACAATGTATAATTAAATGCAACTGAGGCTTTCTACATTTCTTCTGCTCACTAATGTTCAAACCAGATTCGGTCTTTGGGTAGAACATTTTTGCCAGGGTAACCCAGAATGGACCAGAGATGAAAAGACCTCAGAGGCAGAGCATTAGAAAAGCTACGAGCTCAAGAGTTTTTCCGGACAGCTTCCATTCCAGTGCTGCTGACAATGGGTGAAAAATGTCCTCACTTGTGAATCCCCCAGCTGATGAATACAGCTGATAATACCATCTACTCCGTAAGAATAGATTCCCAATAAAAATCCAGCTTGATACTTTTACTCAAGCCTTCCTTCTGCCTTAGAAGAGGAAGGGAGGAAAATCAAGACTATAGGATGTAAAGAATGGCCGAGTGAATATTCCCTGAATAGTAAAGCACTTTTCCTTACTTTCATGCACCTAAGCATCAAAGTTACAGGATCACAATTAGGTATAGTACAAATCTTCTGTTTCTTCAGAGAAACAAAGGTGTCACTAATTATTTGCTAGCTACAAAATAGTTTATACATGCAAATGAGGCATATAATTAATTATTATTTAATAATGTTAGAAGAAAATAGATAATATTAGATAATAGATAATATATAGATAATTCAGTACATCGTATATTGAAATAAGTGTGTGCTGGAACATTTCATAACACAACTTTGTATACTACTATTTTTTTTACTGGCAGCTCTTTCAATTTTTTTCTATGTTTATGACAAACCATGCACAAAATCCATATTAAAAACAGACTCTTGAGTTTGCAAAGTCAAGCACTTGAAAGTTAGCAACCTGCCTTTCTACAGGTGCCCTTGCAGCTCCAATTCTATCTCTTTTCCATTGTGCACAGTAAACAACAGAATTTACTGGGGGAGGAGTGTTGGAGGGAAGCCTGTTCCAGTGTTGTCAGGACTATGTATCAATGCAAATGCAGAAAGGGGCAAGTTTTCAAGCCAGTGTTTCTTCCCTCCACGGATGATTCAGCAGTATGATGGACCCTCTGTTCCAGGTTTTTGCCAAAGAATATAAATAAACACAAGAAGCAGAAAGTACATAATACTGGGGGTTTTCTGTTTAATTAGAACTGTTCCATCAACTGTATAGGATAATGTGTGTGGTCATAGCCTTAGTGTCGTCTGAGCGTACTCAAGAATCATCAAGCGATCTTTTTTTTTTTCCCCTGAGATACATAAGACAGGGAAGAAAAAGGAAATATTTTTTTTAAAGCAGTTAATAGCTTACCCTGAGCTAAGTGAGACAAAGAAAAGCCATCTTGGCACCCCTAGCATTCTCCTGCAAAATATTAAAGGCCTGTGGGAAACAAAAATGGTGTGGGGATTTCTAGCAAAAATAAAAAGGGTCTCACCACTACATTTAATGACCAACATGTGATAAGGTAAATATAGGGGATGTCACAAGAATCCATTAAATAAATGCTTGAAGAAAAAGGCCTAAGAAATGGCTTGAAGAAATGGCTAGCTATGAATTGTCCTCCAAGACATTGAGACAAGACAGAGATCTCGTACCAAGATAGCCCTTATTTGTAAGCAGTACATTTCCATCCATTTTGTGTTCTTATTTTTATATTCTTTCTTATACTGTATGTAAACAGACCACAAAAAAAAAAAAAAAAAAAAAAAAGGAAAAAAAAGTGATTTTTTAGCAAGCCTTTCCTAATAAGGAATGGACTATGTCAGTCATATTTTTCCATGACATAAAAACCTTTGTTTTGGTAGTGAAAACCTAATACAAATATTACAATGCAGAAACAGAAGGGCCCATACAACCAGAAACAAACATCTGCCAATGCATTTTTTTCCACTTATGCCCTCTGCAAATGAGGTCAAGGATGGAAATGAATCTTTTGAACAGATGGAAGCACGCTACTTCCTGGAACTTCAAAATCCATACAATGCGCTTGCTGTGCACTATCATCCATACATGGCTTACAAAAGCAAATGACAGTTTGCATTGCCACTTGGACATGTTTATTCACTGAAACAGTTCAACCTGTAAGCTTGGAAGGTGCTTCTGACCTAATGCTACTACCTTCTACCAGTGATACTCAGAAGTACTTTGCAGACATTAACAAAGGACAGGCTCACGATTTCCTCACAGTTTGAGAATCCTGTAACTCTTTTTCTAAAGAAATGAGGAACAAGGACAAAGAGCTGGACAAAAAGAGCTGTAACAGCTGTAACAGGACCTTTTTGCAATAGGGCTCCTATATGCATATGCGCTTAACAGTAGACAGGTGTGGTTTTGTGTGTTTATGCTAGATAACTAAGCTTCTGGGGGCGTGGAACCATTTCAAAAGTCTGAGAAATGTTAAGGTGATTCAACCATATTTCAAGGGTGTGCTTCATAAAGTAACTGCAGCAGAGAACTGTGAGTTAGGAAACAGGCCCTTGTTGCAGTATCACAGACCACTATTTGATTTGGGCTAATGACGAAAGGCAAAATTTGAGTTATTTGTGAGCAGTTTGGAAAACAGATATTTAATGATAACTATAGGGATTCATTTATCTTCAGAGAAGGTTACATACTGATAGACATTTTTGCAAGTCTTCAAGTGTTTCATTCCTGTTCATAAAACTTTGGCCCTACACAACTTTTAATATCAGACTCAACAGCTTTAAATTTTTCCCTTAACTTTATTTTAGGCACTGCAGCATGAAAAGTGTTAGTCTAAACATGTTCCCAAGCCTGTAATGGAGCAATTTAGAATTCTAGATCCTCAGGTCTGTCCTTAGGCAAACATCTCTAGCTCATTTTATTAATTAAACAGAACATTTCCCAGTACACTCAAATGGCTCAAAAGTTTCCCACGTCTTTGATAACCACCAGACTCTAAAGCTTTTAATTCTTTCATACTTTTATTGCACCATGACTAATCAGAATTGCATTTGTGATAATTCTTGTGCTTAGGACCTTCCATTAGAAAGAAACAAACATGCTGAAAACTCATTTCACACAATGCCATTTGAAGTATAATTCTGTATTTCTTGTTTTCCCACTGCTCTTAATGATTTCAGCAGGAGATTTTTGGTGTTAAAGTGAAGACCTAGACAATCAGTGTTAAAAATGGTAATTAAAACTAAAAGACTCTGGAAACCTTTCACATATAAATTAAACTTTCCACTTGCTCCAAATAATCTTAAAGTTAGGACTAGAAAACTAGGTAAAGGAAATTTACTTCAGAGCATGGCATATGTTCCTGAAAATGGCAGAGTTCTTCATCTGAAAAATGGTTTTAAGATTAAACAGACAACATCTAGCATATCTTAGGAATATAGTGGAAATATCCCTTTCCCAATTTTTCTGAATTTTAAGTAATCCAGCATGGGATGCTGAGCTTTCAACTACAAAGCGACACCTAACTGAATGTACCAAGACGTCCTTCCTTTGTAAGTGCTGTTCTCTTCTCCAGAGCATCTGTTGCTTTCCCATGATAGTGAGTAAATTAAGTTCATCAACTGGGTCTACCTCTGGAAGGAGAGTGAGTGAAGAAAGATGTTTTAAGGCTCCCAGAAGCATCTGACTGACACACTGAGGCTGCTTAGGAGCGCAATGCAGAGTCTGTCCAACCACCCTTCTGAAGCTCTGCCCAAATAAGCCACGATTCCTGGGCATCTGCAGCAAACTAAGCAACTACAGTGAGGAGTAAGGTACAACAATTCCTGTTAATACTGTGTAAACCTGTATTTGTACACACCTGCTGCTCTGTGAGTAATAAACCAGGGCTGGAACACATTTTCTGGAGTGGTTTGACTCTTTATTCCTCAACGAACGTTCTGGCCCTTCCTTAGAGTCCGACCAAGACTAGAATTCATCACAACTAGTGCTCCAACGTGGAGCCAGAATATTTTGTGTGTGTGGAAAAATCAAAAATTGTCATCAGGCACAGCAGAAACCTCCTTTCTCTACTTCTCCATTCGGACTTGAGGAGTTTTACACGTTTGCCTAAGAAACAAACACATGTCAAGTACTACACTGTTATAGAATTAGTTACAGAAAACAAAACTGGGATAGATGGAATTTTCTTAAACTTACAAGGAAAAGTACAAAATGACAGGAAAAAACATATTTCAGAATCAGAGCAACTTCTCTTAGCAAAAGAGCATGGTCTCAAAAACACCCCCAAGCAATAACAGTAACCCCAAAGGAAAAGGTTTAAACATACTCAAATTCAAACTCACTGGTTTGTCACTAAAAAGCAATAGAAACTGACAGATAACACTCATTTTTGCAAGTATATCAGCAATCTTTAACTATGATAAAAAAGTAATTGAAAAGTTCTTTGAAAAAAAGTCCATGGATAGACCTGTGGTACAGAAAAGAGCCATGAAGTCAGAATACAATTCCTTCTAAATGAAAGATTTCAGTGTGTTCTTCTCATACATGTTTAAAGTAAAAAAACAAACAACAAAACCCAAACCAAAACAAAAAACCCAAATCATACCAAAAAAACTTGAAAGTTTAAAGTTTGGAAAATGTGAGCATTCTGAGGAGATCTCTACTTACAGTCATTTCTATGGTTAGTAGGTTACAGGAAACACCATAAAATAACAGATGACATTTCAAAAGACAACGTTCAATTCAGACAGCTAGTTCCTTATCTAGATATTTGAGGTAGGTTTTGGACCTGCTGATAATGATTGCTTCTGAAAAGGGTTGCACAGTACCTCAAAAGATCACCTAAATTTCTTTAAATAATGCTTACAAAAAGATTACTATTTTACTTTTTTTTTATGCTTTTTAAGTGTCATTCTGTAGATCATCAGAAACATACATTACAAGATTAAATTCATAATTTCAATAACATTGCTTTAATAAAATCTCTACATATTTAAATACTATGAAACAAATTAATATGGCTCTGTATTCATATTTCCTTGAGCGTGATAGTTTAGAAAATAAACTTAATTGATACAACTCACTGGGACAATTATCATAGTGTATATCTGATGAAGACATATGAGTTATGCCAAGGCTAAATCTAAGTCATTAGTCTTTTGAACGTACTTCATTATTATTCTCTTCCAAAAGGTAATGCCACTACAATGCACATACCTAAACTTTATCAATGTTTCTGTAACTCAGCAGAGAAATTAAGTTTATGGTAGAATTGTTTTAACTTCACAGTTTTTTTTCATTTACAGACAACAGGTTTGTATTAAAATAAGACTTAAACATAAACCTTATTTTACTTTCTATAACAGATAACAACTGTAGCAATTCAGACAAGGATATATCCTCTTGAGGTTTTTGTGGTGATCACAACTCCACAGTGGGACTGCAGCATGGCGGCATAAAAGACTGCAAGACAATTAATTAAATAACTGTAATTTTCTTCTCTTTTACACCACTTATTCCATCTAGCCATCTCAAGTGGGAGATAAAAACAACCTCCTTCCTTTTTACAGATGAGGAAACTGAAGCATAATAAAGAGTCATGCTACCCTTCCAACTGAGAGAAAGTAAATGGAGAAGGTGGGATGGAAACAGAGTCCTTCTGTCTTTGGCTTTATCTGACCTCACTTACCTAAAGAAAACAGTACTGTTGTTCTTGATTGGAAAGGAAAACAAGCAGTTTCCTGTGCTTAATATTCTAAAAATGAAAAAACAAAACAAAAACCCCAGCCCTGTTTTAAAACTAGGTCGAGGTTTTAAATTGCCTAATAGGTACAATGGATTTACATCTTTTAAAATATTTTTGCAGAAATTGGGCAAGGTTGAACTTCAAATTATGCCCACTAAAAGACCAGGTAGTCTAAATTCAGCACATTTGATATCTTTTTCTTCTTCATATATTTATGGTGTGTTATTTTTTCTGGGATTTTGAATGGAGAGTAACAAGCCATTTGGATGAGATCAAAAAAGAAATGTAAATTATTTCCTTACCTGTAATTTTATCTTCTCTATGAGGGTACCTGCTGCTCTGTTAGTGCAGTACTGATGTGTTTTCTGCCTTTGTCCCAAGCTTCAGAGATCCCTCTGGTGATTTTTCCCCACTTGCTTACCAGCTTCCACTGCTGGCATTTTGAGGTAGTGCACTCACATTTGGCTCCAGGAATACTGCCACAGCTGAGGGAATATAAGACAACTAAAAAACAAGTTAGAAAACAGCAGAGCAATATCCAGGCAGGAAAAAAAAAGTGTTTAAAAACAATGAATCAGTCATCAACTTGAAACCCTTCGATCATTTTCCTCTCTCTTTCCATCTATTTAGAATATCCACATGAAGAAAAGACTTTCCCATGCTTGGAGAAATCTTAGCCAAAGTAGTGGGTGCTGACAGAGTAGTGGGTACCCATTCAGAGAATATAAAATTATTTTAAGGGAATCTAATTTTAACTTTCTCCAGTATGAGTACCCACCACGCCATCACTCTAATATAGATAAGAAACACAAGAAAGGTGTCAGATTTGGAGGATTTCCGAAAAATCCCTGTCTCCCCGTCTCAAGTCTTAATAGACCCGGGGAAAAGGAAGACTCAAGGGCTTTTCACCTAAAAACTGTCACAGATGAACAATTAGAAGGATTTCTCATTGCCCAGGAAACAATATATAGAGCCTGGTTCACTAAGAAGTAATCAAGATTATGGTTGCTGATTCCCAACTAATAGTTGTAGCCATCTTGGTCATCAGAGAAAAAGGGAAAAGAGCAACTAGTACTGTCAATTTAATAAGTAAATAAATTAAACACAAAACAGAGAGCATATCCACCATCTGTGCTTGAAGTTGCGTGTAGACGACAAAATTTCACTGTCATTCTCTTGCATTTTTTACGTGTAATGGTCACAACTCCCTGTGGCATTCTTGGCAGAAGATAGCATAACACACTGGTATTAATTTGAGAAAATGATGGTTTTGATGCTTTTCCCTGGCATTTGCCCTGAACTCATGATAAACTGATGCACATTACTAGCATCATTCCTGATTAGAAATGTCTTCTTGCTTGAGTATTATGGAGAATTCCAGGTGAAAGTTACAACTTCCTGTAACTCCTCTGTACTGGGGATCATCTTGATACTGTTTTTGAACTTCACAATACACAGAAAAGATGTATTCCATTAAAGGGAAAAATGAACTCTAGAAATTTAACTAAGAACCTGCTTTGGTATTCAATTTAATTTGTCTCTCTTAAAGAACCTGGCCAGTTGTCTTCATACCTGCATCTTCTCATTATCTTCTGACTAGTATGTGACCCAAGACAAGGTAAGTATGAATGAATCGGAGTAGCTAATCACAATTAGACACTGGTATTCTAAAATCTCAAGTAATGAAGGAAAGACCAAAAGGCTCTGAAGAGGTCGTTGCCTTCAAATATCAGGAACATGAGTACCAGTGATGTGCTTTAATGTCAAGAGAGAGAAAAGGACTTTGGTAATTTCTTTAATTACCCTCCAAAAAGAAATTGGCTTTGCAAGTAATCAGTTTCAAATTTGCCAAGTTGCATTCTAGGAGAAAGTCTCCTGTTCCTTTTTTGTACTTTGAAAATGTTGAACAATAATTATTAACAACTGAAATTAGAATGATGCCTTGAAGATGATAAATTTGCTATGCTCTCATTTTCCAAGGTCACTCTGAAAAGATGACAAGGAGGTAGGACAGAGGGATCTTAGAATTCTAGAACAACTACCCTGATTTTTCAGTGCATTTGCCTGAATTGGTAAGGGCGCAAGCAGAAGTGATAGTCCTTTGGTATTCTTTTGACAGGTACATGTTCCTGAGCCACAAAGCTTGAATTCAAGATGAAGGAACAAGCTGCTGTTCTTCTGGCTGGCATCTCTAAGATATTTTCTGGCATTCTTGAATCTGAAGAGGCAAAGCTGGTTTGGACCTCTTATAATATGCAGCTCCATTAAAATTCTCAAATCTTCTACTACTACTGAGTTTGTAGATACATGTAGGTTAGACGCAATCCATTGTTTCCTTGAGATCATATCCATCTTCATAAACTGGAGACACACTGGTGTTCACTTCTGGTTTTAGAGGACTTGCCAATATAATTCTACAGGTAACATCATACAAATAAGTCATGGTGAACTGGATATTTTGTAGCTTCACCCAGAATCTCCACTTCAGAGCTCTATGACACTTCTCACTGCAGATATGGAAGGGTATGAACGATAGTCAGCATTGTAAGATCTGAGAAGGAATCATCTGTGTATGCTAATAATGCAGTAGAAGAAAGCTCAAAGTCCATTTAATAGAACATACAAAGTCCTTTGGAGTCTTTTCTCCACACATAGCAGCAGTCTCTTTCCTAAGATGAACCTGGTGTTCACCAAGGTGGAAGAGTAAACTACAAGCTGTGAAAAAAATGAACAATTTTGAAATTCTTATGGAAATTAATTTTATGTTGGTCCTCTTCTTTTGTAATTTAGTCCTAGACACCAATCTTCCACTTATTCTTGCCTGAAATACACTTTTTCTTCATTTTGAACAGTTCTCAGGTAGGACAGGACTATCTTCATTATTCTTATGGAGAAATAGGTAAGATTTACAACCATGCTCACTTTGCTCTGCAAGGGAATAATATGTGAGTAATCTGATTTCAACCGGTTTGAGAGTTGTTCACTCCTCCAGTGGTGACTGTGCATAATGCTCTGTATGACTGACTTTCTCCGGTTTATATTGATTATTAACCATTTCCCTCCTTCCCTATTAGAAGGCAGAAAAGCAGAGCTGCAACAGGGCAGTACTTCTCAGGTTTTCTATAAGTAGTCCTAATGAGTAAGGAAATACCTCAAGAAAACTACAGGATTTTGGAGAATTGAAAGTAACACCTTTTGGACAGTTGGAGGCCACTTTTCCAGTCCCTCATATCAGCTCTGCAACTAAGCAGTGGTGGACAGTTTGTGAAGCCTGTGCCAAATACCCATGGAAAGAGGCAAGAGTTTGCCTGCAGCTATTTAGGTAGTAGGTAGTGTGAGGTTTAAGAACAATCCAGTCCCT